TGCTTTTTGAGCACCACGCATTCAACACTTAGGTATTTTTCAGTTTGTTACTGGTGGGTACTAAAGAGGTGAATAATAAAAAGCCGAGCTGGCTCGTTTTTTAAGAATAAACAGAAAACATGCTGAAGTTATGCACCCGCCGAGTGAGCCGCATCTGCAGACGTCATGCTGAAGTTTTTAGGCATCCAACAAGAGCCTTCGAAAGAAACGTAGTCACGAACTTTCCAGTTAGCGGCGGATGGCTTTTTAAAAGATGCATCAACTCAAGGGTGGGGCGCCGACTTCCCATTTGAGAAGGGATGGGTTCAACGCCGGAATTCTCCAACTATGGAGTGGAACGTAGTTACTGATTAAAGTAGGTGATGTGGGAGATGGTAGTCCAGCTTCCACGTTCTCCTCCATTTTTTTTTTTTTTTGAAGGAATGCTTGAACGCTATACATTGTTGCATATGACGTAGGCTGTACATTTATTGGCGAAGCGGGAGTTTTTGAAAATGTGGTTGGCTGCCGGTAGTGGTCGAACATACGACTCTGAACTAACTGGACCCACGTTGTAGCAGCCTGAGGAAGTGGGCCTCGTATTTCTGTGAATTTCCAGACGTGAAAGGGTCAGGGTAGGAGCGGTTGTACCCCGCGGGTGAAACTGTGGATGTTGAATATTTGTAGGCTAAGTTGGCTTAGGGATACAATGCTGGTTTTGTGTGCGAGAATCCTGGGGTTCTGATGCACCGTTTTGAGCCCGTGCGGAGTGGGTCCTTACATAGTTAACGGATTTGGTTAACGGATTTGTGTTGTGTCGTGAAGCTACTAAGACGTGCGGTTTGAGCGGCGACTGATTATGCAGTAACTGTGTGTGCTACGGGGTTTGTGGTAATCTCATGTGACTGATAGTAACAGTTGGTGATTTAAAGACGCTGACTGCATTTATCTGTATATTGTGTCAACTGTGAGTTTATTAATGAACATTCGTTTTTAGGTCACGGCTGTATGCACTATGAGGAGAGACATGTTTGGGAAGATTATATACAATGAGGAGGTATTAGAATATGAACTTACGCTAGCGGAGACTAGATTATTTAACCCATACTTTTAGTGTATATTGAGGGCATTGAAGAATGCTTATGACTGAAATAAGAGTACAGCATTTTTGTAATCTGGGGGTGATAAAAGTGAAGACTGAGAATTGCGCTTACGTATTTGCCTAATTTGGTGTATTTAATTCTATTAAACTAATTTTCGCGCTTTCTTCTTTGGCGGTAATAGTAAATAACGTTTCCCCTTGAAACCAAAACCAATGAAGAGGGAACAGAAACTGGCTGTAATTGTGTTAGGCGCTAGACGAGGGGATAAGTTAGAGGCAGTGGCATGCCAGCGTATTGGTTTTATTTGGTTGCTATGTTACCTGAATGGCGTAAGTTTTGTAGCCTAAATGCATACAGTGGATATTTCAACTGATTTACTTTTGAAAAGATAGTACCGTGTTTTTTGAACGTTTGTTGAAGATATAAGAATGAAAACGTGGCACGTTAAGAAACTGATGATTTGAGGGAGCAGTAAGCTGCATTGTTCCTAGTGTACCCGTAGGAAAAAGCAATACAAACTGTAAGGCGCGATAGGTTTTTTTTTGCTATTTTTTACTATTTTTTGGGCGAATTACAAAATCCGGCTCAATTGACATAATATTTTCATTACGCTGGCCGCAACACCAATGTTCTGTAATTCTACACATATTTACAGACTGATGCTGCAGTACTTAGAAGATAAATTTTTAAGTTTTCAGCCTGTTTCTGGAAAAGCAGTAGGCTGTTACGAAAAATGCTATTCAAATTCACCTTCTTCCCGTACTTCTGTTGTACCTAGGTCGCATTTATCTTCACTGATAATAACTTGAATACTTCTAAACCCTCTCCCGTTGTTTTTTTAAAAATAAACGGTTACAGCAAACCTCCAGCTCGTTTTTAGTGAAATGAAAGGAGGCTTTGGCATGATAAAAGCTCATTAACAATTGGAAATTTTACGCAAAAAATCCTCACATCACGCTCTCTACTGATTCGCTGTAAACTGTTCACTACCCTGCCCTATTACTGATGATCCGTATTCACAGTCTGTTGACCGCTTTATGACCAAATAGTGAAATAAAGCAAAAACTCTCCACGAAACAGTCAGCACCATGCAACCCGTAATCACTGCAGCCGACTTTGAGGAACTGTTGGCGGAATAATAGCAGGATGCGCCTGCCCGTCAACTGCGGGAGTTGATGATACAGTTGGAGACGACACTCTAAACAAAGAAAAAATCTACTCAACAACTAAACCTTGATGCCATATGGAAAAAATATCAGAGATAGCAGAACAGTGGAGTGATATCCTAACGCTATATTTTGAAAAAAAAAGCCAACTCAAAAAAATAAATTACATAAAGAAGCCATATTAAGCTTACTCTTGCGCGACCGTTGTTTTCGAATGCAGTGGGAAAGGGCTATTGCGCAACGGTGTTGAGATCGGACCAGTCAAAGTTGGGTGCTGTAAGAAAAAGCTCTGCTTTAACTGAAGCTATTAAAGATTTAGTTTTCTTCTTAACCGTAACACAATTAATTTGAAAGGTAACGTTTCTATCATAAAAGCTAATAAAGTAAGTTCTATGGGTAGCAAACAACTAGGCGGGCTAGAGTTAAGTGAAAAAAAGAAAACGAGTAAAGCAAAGCAAGCATAATAAACTTCTCTATTAAAATTTCCAAATTGAAAAACCTAACCTAATTTTGCTGTTAACAAATACTGACTTAAAACATCATTTTTGCATTTACTGCAAAAAAAATTACATACCATTGTTTTTAAAAAAAAATTCAGTGTTTTATAGGTGGACCTGCTTGCCGTTACAATTCGAGTGTTTTGCTCAGAGGAATCAAATACCGTATGACTTACACGACACAACAGTTGCTTGTGAGGATAAAACATGGCGGAACCAAAGCCAAGAGGCGAAGAGCCAAGAGAACCAAGAGGGGAAGAGCCCATAGAACCGAGAGGATCACCAAGAGAAGGCGCGCGTCTCAATTGCAAGAAATCAGACAACACTGAAAAGGTTAACGTTTCCGCATTCAAAAATACTACTGATTCTAAAAAATAACGACATTATAATAATTCACAGAAAGATAAATTAGTCAAAGCTTCTTATACTAAAAAGTAAACTGACTTTTTTCTTTCTGCTCAAACTTGCTTTTCCAATCATTGGCTGACTCTTGAGCTTTACCACATTCAGACCGAGAAAATTCTAACTGAAAATGTATGTGGGAGAATTGTTGCGTTTAGCGATAGTTAAATTGTCTCATGGTGAAAAAAAAAAGCAATTTTACCAAAAAAAATGAAAGAAACATAAACGAGTGTTAAGTATAAAAAAAGGAAAGAACCTCCTTTGTGAGTTGCGACACAGTTACGTTATATTCGTCAATTTTCTTCATATTCTCTTCAATTTCTGTTTCAAGCTCGCGAATGCGTTTTTGGCTGTCGTCTTTCGGCAACTGTTTTAATTTCTGTCATATGAAAGCATCTTCATTAGTTGCGCTAGAAAGTAAACGTGAAAAATACTTCACAAAGAACTACATTACGCTACCTGACACAATCTACTGATAATTTCCATTGCTTTCTTGTGCTCCGCTTTCCAATGCTCAACTTCGCTCCTTAACTTTTTTGTGCTTTGTTCATACAATATAGCCTTATTTTCCAAAGATTTTAGTTCTAAGGACATCCCAGATATGTTGTAGTCAAGGTCATCCAACTGATGGCTTAACCTTTCTACCTCACTAGATTTCTCATTCCGTTCTGTAGTCACATAGTGAAGCTCTTCTTCCAGCTGCTGCTAAAAACACCAAGACAGCATAAGAACAAGAACATTAAAAATGTAATTTCTTGAGATTACGACACAAAAACCTTCTCCTGTTCGAGCTTATCACGCACATCCAGAAGGTCGTCGACCCGATCTCTATATTTCTCATTCTGTTCACGCAAACTTTCAAGCTCCTAAAATCATGCTCAGAGAAATAAACAAACAATGGGCTTTCTCCTGCAAAATGCTAATATTACTAAGTGACGTTAAGACACGAGAAGCAACGAACGAATTTCGGAAACTACCATTAAATTACAAATAAATTCCGACCTTAAGAGACTCATAGATTTTTGTAAACTCTTCCTCACCTCCCCTGCATTTGTTTTTATCCTGGAAAATAAACGCTTTTCCTGAACAAACACTCACTACTAAACCAAGAAAAAACTTTAAAATCTAGCCTTTTCTTGCTCCAGCTCTAACTCAGCTACTTTCTCCGTCAATAGCTCAACCTCGTTTTTAAGGCGTCTCGAGTTCTGGAATAGAAAGAAAGATACAAAAACGCTTACAAATTTATGAAAACAACTATTCTTTTATAATAGTAAATTAGGGAAAAAGAGGATATCAACTCAGGATTACTTCATGCTCCAGAGAAGCAACTTTTCGCGCACCATCAGCATCGTTCTGAAAAATAAAAGCAAATTTTCACCATAAGATTGTAAAGGTACTAATTTTAAGAACTCTTCAGCTAATAACCCAACCCTCAGCTTGTCAACCTCCTTTCTCAGATGTGGAAGAAGTTCCTCAGTCGTCAGAGAGCTCAGCTCCAACGACAAAAAAGTTATTCGTTTACGACCTTTTACTTTACAAATCATATCCAACCTGAAAAAAAAAAAAAAAAAACATTTGAAAGAAATATAGGTCTC